TCAGAATCTTTGATGTATAAGGCCGTGGTGCTTATTTTCGAGTGTCCCAACACTTTCTGTAAAACAGGTAAAGGCATTCCACTAACCGCATTATAAGTAGCAAAGCATCTTCTAAGAGTATGAGGGGTTAGTTCAATATTCTCAGCAATATCTAATTCTTGCTTAACCTGTTGCAAAAAATAAAAAAAATTAATTCGGTTGGCGGAATTAGTTTTTCAATCCCGCTTTTTTATTTCTTTAATTACTTCGGGAGCGACGAATACTCATCTTTCCTTGCTTCTCTTTCCTCTCAGTAAATATAAGTTTCTATACTCCGGTTCTTGGTGTTCCAAGCCCAAATCAAAACTAATAGCCTCAGTAACCCTTAATCCGGCTTTTCAACACAAAAGAAAAAGGCATTCTCATTGGCTTTTCTTGGTTTCACCTTTTTTGTTGGGTCGGCCAATAATATAATCCCAAACTTGCTGTAATAGTTGATTAGTGGGAAGAACCGTGAGAGATTTTTTATTTTTTGCTGGCATACTTATTTCTAAACTAATCAAATATTTCTCAAATGTATTTTGCGGTCTTCAAGTCAGAAAATTAAACGGTATTTTTTTCCTCGATAAGTAGTTTCCACATAAAATATTTCCTTATCTCATAATAAACGAGGTTCTGGTAAAGGCTCAAAAATTTTATTGTTTAATCTGGCTTGAATTATTTCTAAAATCTTTTGATCGTTAAGACTATTGTCTCATTCACCTTGATAGTTATCAGAAGTGATATTAGGTTTTGAATTAGGACTGATTTTTAATTCTACCGATAAGAATAATTTACTAGCATAATCTATTAATTCCTCCAAACTAAAATAATCAATTCAACAGAATAAGATTTTTTTGATTAGGTCCTTTTGTAATTCTTCTCGATGGCTTTCCACCGCTGGGTCAAGGTCTAATTGAACTTTTTTAGCAAGTTCCTCAATTGTTAATTTATTACGCTGCTTGTAGGTTATTATTCCTTGGCAGATTTCAAACTTGCATTTTTCCAAAGTAGTTGGCTTTTCCGGTAAATCTTTAACTACTCATGGATAGTCAGAATCAGGTTTTTCAATATATTCAATAAACTTTTCGAGAGTTTGATATTTATCATTCATATTCATAACTGTTAACTATCTTTTTTTTGCGGAGGGTCAGCCCTTGCAAAATTTTTTGTTTTTGGCTTAATTCAGTCATATTTATATTTTTATAACTTTTTAACCATTTGTTATTACATTTTAGACTTAACTGGTTATTATTAGTTAATGTTTCTGGTCCTTTTTGTTACATAATGTCCTATTTTGTTATAAAGAGCGTATTTTGCTTTGGTAAGTAGGTATTTATGTAATTAGGTTAAAAAGTAACACGGCAGGCAAGCAAGAAAGTAAATAAGTAAAAATATATATATGAGTGGACGCAATGTTAATATTTATCTTCCCGAGGAAACTTATAATAAAATAAAAGATTTAATCGAACAAAGAAAAGTCAGTAAATTTGTCAGTGAGGCCATTGAAGAAAAACTAAAAAAAGAATTGAAGACTAAATCCAAGAAAAATAGTAAAATTAATAAATATATGGAACAACCATTAGGGTTAGTTAACGAAAGAGGTTTTCCTATACCGCTAAGTTGCTAGTTGTTTTCGGCGCCATGAAAACTTCTCGATAAAGTATAACCCTGCTATTGGAATGTATACCCAAAAAAATTATTTTCTCTATTGGGTAAGCGAAGATTAAAATCCTAAAAAAATGTCTCGTAAACCTGAAAGCGAAAGAGGAGATAAGTTATGTGATAATTGTCTAAAAGAGTTTTATTTGAAAGATAAAAAGGAGTTTCTTAATCTAGTAAGAGATAAAAGCAAAAGACAAACACTCCGCAGTTATATTTACCATTCCGTGATATAGTTTTTTTTGTTGAGTATAGGCTCTACGAGAAGAAACTATATAAAAATAAGTTAATAACCTAATCCTTTATCGTATGGTATGAATACAAACTTATTTTAAAAATCAGTGGACACCAAAATGCTTAGACCAAAAACACCACGTTATTAGAGGCAAAGAAATTAAGTTTTTCATTCTCGATGGTGACAGTGGAAATGAAAACAAGTTAATCTGCGACAACTGTCGGAGTTACAAAACTTGAAAAGCAATCACTGTTGAAAACATTGTGTGATGTAGTGATTGTTTACCTCTATATGATGAAGTTTGGCAAAAAAATATGATTGCCAAAAGGGATAACGGTGATGAAGAGGTAAAGAAAGCTTTAAAAAAATTCTACGAATCAAATTTTAATTTTTACGAATGATAATGAACAATACTAAAATAATCCTCTTGCCGAAAGTAAAACCGAGGCAATAAATACACAAAATAATATGGTAAATACAATTAACACATTAATCGAAAGAAATAAAGAATTATTAGCAAAAAATCAAGAATTAGAAAGGAAAAACAATTCATTTCCTAGTCGAGAACAGCAATTAAAAGTTTTAGATGAAATAACAAAAAAAGACATTAGCAGTAGTATCAGTTTTCTTAAATACTTAGGAGCCAGCGAAGCAGAAATTAATCTTTTTACTACATCAATAACAGCTACTACTAGAGTCAGTTGCGGTGTTACTTATGATTTTAGAGACGGAGAAAATCCCTTTAAAGATTACTTTGACAATTTTGTCATGCGTTTCTCTGGTGCCTTTGAAAAAAACGCGAGACTTGAAAATGAGGTTGAAAGTTTAAAAAGTCAGAAAGAAGAAAAGGAAACAGAAATCAAGGAACTGGAAAAGTATAATAAATGATTACAAAAAGAACTCAAAGAGGCTTGGAGTGAAGGTGATACTCATATTGAAGCTATGAAATTTGCTGGTGAATTAGCAGAAGAAAAATTTTCGGCAGAGACAGAAAAACTCAAAACTGAACTCAACGATGAGCGAGAAAAATTACAAGAAGTTATTGAGTGACTTGCAAAGGAGAAAGTAGAGAACCAACAAATACGAGAAGAATCAAAAGGAAAAAATGAAAAAATAAGAGAAATTAGTGAGGAACTAGCAGAAGAAAGACGGCAAAAAAGAGAGTTTTATCTTGCTAATAAACCCCTTCCTAAAACACCAAGCAAATTTAAATTGTTTAAGGAGAAAGCAAAAATTAAATTCTTAAAATTAACGCACAGAAGAAAAGTTCAAGAGAAAAAACAGGAGTTAGTTGCTCGGGTAGAAGTTCCAGTTAAGTAGTTATGAAAGAATTACTTTACACAGTTTTAGAACTAGAAGAGTGATGTAGCACTAAGTTGCCTTGTAGTTTTTGTGTTTCTCTTAGAGAAGAAGATAAGATAATTTGCCAAATAATAACCCGCAGTAAAGTAACTCACAAACTAGTTGCAATGGATTTTGCTTGTCAAAATTGTAAAGAAAAGTTTGAAAATAACCAAATACCAAAATGTGAGAGATGTGGAAGATTACGAGTTGACTCGGATACTAATTACACCACTGGAAAATATGTTTGTCGTTGTATTGAACGCGGAGAAAATGTAGAAGAAAAAGAACTTCCTGCTTTACCTCATGAAGAAAGACAGTCTACTTTTTATGAAAGACAAATCAATGGTTTACAAGAACAATTAAACGAAGCAGAATGAACCATCCAAGAGGAACGGGAAGCCCATGAGGATTTTATGGAAAAGTCTGAGGAATGAGGTAAGAGACAAAAACAGGAACTATCAGACAAGATTAAGGAATTAGAAGCAGAAAATAAGAAATTAAAAGAGTTAACTCCCCAAGAACTATTAGATGAGATAAACAAACTAAAAGACAGAGTTAAGCAACTAGAGGAGCAATTGCAAGCTCAAATCGAAATCAAAGAACCGAAAAAATGACCTTGAAAGTTAAGAAAATAATTAATGTCATATCCTTATTGTTCTAATAAAAACTGCTCTCTCCCCACTCCACAAGTTCTCAAAGAACTAAACAAAGAAGTAAAGTGGGAAAAAATAGCCCAGGCTTACGGAGTAAGTGAACGAACCATTTATCGACATGTCAAAGTCTCTAAAAAAAAACTAAAAAGGGGTCGTAAAAGAAAAATAGGAGGTAAGGTTCGAGATTTATTGCTTGATTTTACTGCCTATCGTTCCGAAGATAACACTTTAACTCAACAGGAGATGGCTGACCTCATCCAAAAAAAGGAAAAAGTTATAATCAGTCAGCAAACTATTTCTCGTTTCCTAAAAAAGAGAAAGCGAACTAATAAGAAAATCACTCCTCGTTATCAAGAACTAAAAATTAGTGAGGTTAGAGAATTTGGAAAAGTTATTCACATTTTGTCTCTTAGTCATTTTTCCGCTATTGATGAATGTCATTTCTATTTAAATGAAGCTCCTCGCCGGGGCTATTCTCCTATTGGTCAGAGGGTAATTTCTCCTGCTCCAGGTAGTA